ATATTTGTACGTTCCTTTGTATGTCCGTAATTAATTCATTGATTTGCTCTTGCTGTCTTTTCTAAATAATAATTTACATGTTGGTGTATTTGGCTTTTTATCCTTGATTATGTTGTGGAAACTATATATTTAGTTTAGTACAAGTTAGTTTTAACTATGAAACATAAGCGGCAATTTTATATACTACTGTAACACATATGTATGTACTCTTTCATGGTTGTTGTAAGTTTAGATTATTTACTTAGAAACGACACTATATTCGTGATATTATGACTGTAGTGAAATCTTCAGTTAACATTAATTTACCGTCTGCTCCTTCTGTGGCTTTTGTGCTACATTGCTCACAGTTAACATAACCTTTGATATATTTAACATATTATTAATATGTATTTATAATTATATATTAAATTTATTACATTATAATAATATATTCTAATACGGAAATGACAAAATATAATCACATTATTCTAACATTACTGTATCTCTTTGTTTATGTGAGGGTTGTGGCATTAAATGTTTTGTAGTTTAAGTTTTGTAATTTTAAGTTTAATACGAAATTTAATAACGACCATATGTATAACAGATTTTACGATCAATCGGATTTGTTTCATTCTGTTGAAATATGTTCGAAATGAAATGAAAATTAAAAAATGTAAAACATTAAAGCTAAACTTGTCAGGTAATCATAATCGTAAGGTCCCTGTAAAAACACATTTATAATACAATTAGTGATATCAAAGGTAGATGATTGGCTAATGCTGACTACAGTATTGTGTTTTCATAAGCTCTACAAAAATAACCCCCCCCCCCCCCCCCCCCCCCAAAAAAAAAACCGAAAAAAAAACAACTCTATAATTTTCCTAGTCTTATATTATACGAATGAAGCAACATTTTTAAGAATTTTATTAAGGCAGTGGATATTTAACCGGTAGAACGTTCATTCGTTTACCATATATCCAAATGTCGTCATTGTTAGTGGGGGCGCACTTCAACCCTATCCTTTAAGGATAATTATAACCAGTAAATTACATTTTTTTCTTTTTATCGACCTACCTGTGGTATAGACAGAGTTTCGCCAACTACCGCCACATATTTCTTCCGAATTACCGCTACAAGTCAGTCCACATTCACTTTCGGGTCGTTGACCCAACCTGGAATAATTATCGTCACCACAAAAACATTGGAACCGATACTGCAATCCAGCGTACAGGTAGCGACGTTCGTGACAATATTGTATACACCAAATTATTGTCATGTCATTGTTAGTAGTGCTAGTTAACATTGTTCTATTGGGGCTATCAGCAAAACACCCTTGGTACACACCGGCTACAAAACAGAAACAAATTTTATTAGCAATTATTATTATTATTATTATTGTTATTGTTATTATTATTGTTATTATTATTGTTACTTTTCATGGATCTCGACCTGCTATTATTATTATTATTATTATTATTATTATAGTTATAGTTATTGTTATTGTTATTGTTATTGTTATTATTATTGTTATTGTTATTATTATTATTATTGTTATTGTTATTATTGTTATTGTTATTATTGTTTCATTTTCATTTCATTTATTTTGTCTCAATAAAATACATAAAAAACAACAACCGGTTACAATACAACAAAATAAAAGCATAAAAAATCTGAAACAGGCCGAGACAGGATTCCTAAAAGTGAACCAAATCGCTATCATGTAGGTCTCCTAATGCACTATTCCGATTACACATAAAATAATAATGAGCAATTGAAATAATTGTTATTGTTATTATTATTATTATATATTATTATATAATGTTATTGTTATTGTTGCTGCTATTGTTATTGTCATTATTTTTGTTATTATTATTATTATTATTATTATTATTATTATTATTATTATTATATGTATCATTATTATATATTAATATATGTTGTATTATATTATTATTATTATTATTATATTTATTATTATTATATATTATTGGCTCGAGTAAAGAAATGATAAAATTTTTATGACGATCCCGACTAGGGTGTAGATCTGAGGACCATTGAAAAAAACGTCCCAGACCACAAATTCGAAAACGGATCAGCTAATCTGAATAAAACATTTGGAACAAGTTTTTAACCAAGTTACAAGAAAGATAGTATTATGTGTTGGCAACGAATCAGTCAAGGGTGTAAATTGGAGTGTCATTCAAATTGACCCCAGACGTAAATATCTATAAAGGGTTTTCAATGGGTGTAAATGAAAGTTTCTATAATAGTTTGTAAATATCCAATAAAGAAATGACAGAATTGTTGTGATGATCCGGCGGTTTGGAGAAAAGTAAGGGGTGGGGGGAAGGGACGTTCGGGATCCGGAATTACTACTATAAGACAATAAAAAAAATAAATGTAACATCGATCTATATCATGGAGTGTATTAACAGGCATTAAATCACCTAACAAATCAAGCGTGTTTTAATTTATTTTGTTTCTTTGAAATTCATGTACAGTATGTACTGTACTATCTCGAAAAGAAGCCCATGAGCCTATCTTGAAAATAAGCCCATGATGTTCTCTTCGAGTTATTAAGCCCATGGGTTTTACGGTACTGCAAAAGGCCTGCTAAACACTACAAGATACTGACATTAACAGCTGGTAAGGAGAAATGAGATAATATCTTTGAATTTTTAGGCGATTTTGCGTCTTTCATTAACAATTTTGATTGGAATAGATCTGATGGTCCGAATTTACCAAATATGGTTTGGCGGTTGGCCGATCCTCTGACAAAATCATTTGCGACGTCCACTAAACGTAAGCCACTTGCCCTGTCCTTGGGTACATATAATAAAATCAAATTTTGCGTCATAGTTGTTCCTAGGTACCTAAGTCTTCACACACCGAGAGAGCTGAACGTTCTTCTTTCACTTGTAGCATTGGTAGCTGTCCTGACTAAGATTAATTTTGCAAGCCGAATCACTTGCGATATTAATCTTTTTTGACAGTGGTCAGTCTTCTCAAGTAAGTCAGAATATCGGAAAGTGAGCTGCTAGAAAATCAGGGGGCAGATTCAGTAGGGGCACGGGGCAGGTTTCCCCTATTTTGCCACTAAATTTTAAACATTTCAATGCATAATAATACTATGTGCTTCTCATTTATCTATTCAGAACCTGTTGTGCCCCCCACCCCACCCCGCTTGAAAAATTCTAGATCCGCCCCTGAAAATAATATACTGAAACTGAATGTCTTCTGCTATAAAGACCATTAGCTTTTAGCCCAACCTGCGCGCAATGGTTATGAGTTATGATGTACCTCGCTAATTACCATTGCAGTCATAGTTAAAGTCACACTAATAACATCGAAGTGAACTTGGTTTTCGGTTTTTTTTCCACTTCATTTTTCCACTGCATTAACATTTATTATTATTACTATTATTATTATTATAATTATTATTATTATTATTTTATTATTATTATTATTATTATTATTATTATTATTATTATTATTATTATTATTATTATTATTATTATTATTTTGTTTTAATTTCTTTAGTCAACTACTACCAACACCGTCATCATCATCGCACTGCTTTGCTGTACTTTATTATTATTATTATTATTATTATTATTATTATTATTATTATTATTATTATTATTATTATTGCTACTATTATATTAATGCTAATATAAACTTTGCTGACGACGATGAGTGACTATGATGTTGATAATGTTAATGATGATAATTATGAAGATTATGATGATGATTATCATAATTATAATGGCAACACTAGCTCAAAACTTACACTGTGCCAAAGTTGGATTTCCAAACAACAAATATACACTGTAAACCCAACATGTGACAACTGCGAATAAATAAAGTGAAGAAAAGAATAATTATTAGTAACAATAGAATAACAAAATTTAGTATTCTTATTTTATTGTTATTATCTTTTATCACTGTATAACGCTTTGAAGATAAATGTAAGAGTCAAGATAATATCCAATACGTTTGGGTGTCTTGCTGTATTCATTATCCAGGGAGTTGTACATTCCCTTCCTACTTCACCTAAAATAATAATACGTTTAGTTGAATCGATTTTACCAACCAATGACGATTTTCAATCTAATCAAAAACCGATAATATCGCATCAAAAATTCGCGCAAGTGATTAATAGTTACGTTAGTTACGAAGAATCTAACAAATAGTTGTTAACGGTTAATTGCTATCTATCAAAAAAATTCTCTTTAAAAATGTTTAAATAGTTTGTTCAACGGCATTACGCCAAACGACCGTTTAATAATCTCTATCATTAACTTAGCCTACCCAGGTCGTTATCGGTCGTCAGCTGATTTTTTCCTTCCAAGATATCGTATAAAGGCCTCTAAAATGCACACTGATGGATATATGATATTATAAACAAACATGAAATCCTGAATATTAAGGAAATCGAATGAATACTTACGTTTCGAAACAGGTTGAAGCATTGCGTATAATTGTCTTTAAGATGTTTCGTCAGATATTCTTGCTTAAAGTAACTGTACTGCGGACAATTCTAAATTTATAATTTATCTAAGAACCAAATATTGTGGTGCATGACGGATTATATTGACATTATAATGACAATAGGCCTATTGATGAATGATTGTTATGTTACCGTATTGTATACCTCCTTGAGTTTGCGCACGCATGGCACGATAACATATACCTATACTTGTTAATTATTCTACGTCGGTATGTCGATTCTTCGACAGGTAATTACGTCGTTTGCATCCTTCACGCAAAACCGAGGAAGTACAATGTACCGTAATTACTATATTTGTTATTGTATTAAAATGCAATATGGATTTCACATGGCTTTCAGTATAATGATTCTGGGGGTTAGTGTATTTATTTGAAATATTGTTACGAATTCCTAACCAACTAGCACACTGTCATAGCTCATTAGATCTAGTAAGGTTTTACTGCTGCTGAAATTTCATTTATTCAAATACACACACATACCCACTCCCACCCCAAACCACCCTGTCTCTTATACACATCTAGATGTGTATAAGAGACAGCACAACACACACACACTATGACTATGTAGAGACATCTTTGTCTTGTTTGTTTATTTTTTGTTTGCCTGATTCCACGAAGTGGACACGATAAAAAGATCTTTGCCTTTATTGCGAATAGGCCTACATTTCAGAAGCCTAATAAAAATGCTTGAAACATTAAATCCAGGTGATACAGGTTCAATGATTTTTCATTTAAATAAAGAAAGAGTGTTGCTCGATACTGTGGTTGGGGGTGGGGGGCTGCTTATGAGCTAGAAACTTAATTAAAAACTAATAATAATAATAATAATAATAATAATAATAATAATAATAATAATAATAATAATAATAATAACAATAATAATAATGTAATAAAAATAAATAAAAAATGTAAAGCTTGTTACGGATTTTACCTTTTCTAAGCAACACTATTTTAGCGTACTCAATATCAAAGACATTCATTTTGAAAATACATTGAATATTTTCAGCGTCAGTATTAAATCATCTTAACATTAAACGTTATAATTTACTTGATGAATTTGTATGCACTGCTAAAATATATTGAAAAAATAGGTCTGAAATATATTTAATATAGCAATATTAGTGTAATATACTTTTCTTTCTAACGAATCATTTAAATAACCTAATAATATTACTAATAACTACATTAAAAGCTGATCCAGGCGCAAATGCCTACAATAGATAATGAATGAAGGTAGAAACATTTGAAATCAAGCTTAATCTATCTTAGTTTGTAGTTTTGCTCTTTGTAATTTAAATATAAGATTATATGTTGGTTTATAACTATAGTCTGACTGTCTAAAACTAAACTGTCTAACAATACAGCAGTAAATTTCATAGACATGCAGTTGTATATTTCAGTATATAAGCCTACACTATTCATTATTATTTTGTCATACGAAACACTAAACCTGAACATAAAAATTCTCGCGAAACTCACTGGTTGGTGTGAGGCCGACCGCAGAAACCTGTGTTGAACATACTGTCATCTAGGCCTATTACAGGATTGCAGGATTATTCTGACAATAGGCTCATTGAGCCTCTGACATCAGATAAAAATATAGTTTGTTATGGTGTTAGTTTTGCTCATTTTAAAATTATCTTCATAATAGAAACATTTCAAAATTATATATTATCAGTCCAAATATTCCAAGATTTAATAAAAAGTTTAAAAAAAAATCCCAAAATGTCATTAAAAATACGAAGGTCTAGGGATAAATCCCAAGCAATGGTCACATTGCTCGCACCACTGATTTGTCATGCGTGAATGTTTGTTGATGACAAGGAATATTACTCTGATGAATATTTAAACAATGCTCCACGTGGCTGGTGGATTTAGTCTATCTCATTTCAATTCACGTAATATTTATTTCACTTTTGTCATATAATATAACAATTGGTACAGTACGTATGATGATAATTCATAATAATAAAAGAATATAAGTACAAGGAGAGGATCAATTCGTGAAAAAAGAACTCTGCGAATAAGCAAGCTTTTAGTTGCAGAGCCCTAAGATAATAATAAAAATAATAAAAACTTAGAAAATTGACATTTAAAGAACTACTGTAAGTTATTTTTACAGTAGTTTTCACCAATATGATTATGCATCAATTATGAATAAAGTTAATGTATTATTTATTTAAGTGGTTGATAAAAGATTATTACAAAATATACAGTTGTTATATTACATCGAACCATCTCAGTTTTGTAAACCCTCATACAGGTCAAAGGTCAGAATGTACCGTTTCCGGTCACTATTTGAATATTTTTTTCATTAAGACAAATATAAACATGAATCTCCTGAACAATTTGCAATCAATTGCGAGTCTCTTTGACCAGTAGTTACCGAGATATGACAATACAAGGTCAAAGGTCAAATTTTAAAAAATCGCATTTCCCACCATTTTTGGGTAAAAAATTGTATTATAGCAAATAAAAACATGCATATTGTGAACAATTTCAGACCAAAATCAAGTCTTTCCGGCTAGTGGTTATCGAGATACAAGTGTCCAAATAAACAGGCGGCCATTTTGAAAAACGCCCCCAAACGGGACTTTCCCCCAATATCTGGGAGGTATATAGGAGCTATATTTTATCTAAATTGGTCCATCTTGCCAAATCCATCGAGAAACAAAGGTATCCTAAAATTCGAAAACGGATCTCATGAAAATGACTCTACTAAAGTTACAAGAAAGATAGTATTATATGTTGGCAACGAATCAGTCAAGGGTGTAAATTGGAGTGTCATTCAAATTGTTGAGACCCCAGACGTAAATATCTATAAAGGGTTTTCAATGGGTGTAAATGAAAGTTTCTATAATAGTTTGTAAATATCCAGTAAAGAAATGACAGAATTGTTGTGATGATCCGGCGGTTTGGAGAAAAGTAAGGGGTGGGGGGAATGGGCGTTCGGGATCCGGAATTACTACTATAAGACAATAAAAAAATAAATGTAACATCGATCTATATCATGGAGTGTATTAACAGGCATTAAATCACCTAACAAATCAAGCGTGTTTTAATTTATTTTGTTTCTTTGAAATTCATGTACAGTATGTACTTTACTATCTCGAAAAGAAGCCCATGAGCCTATCTTGAAAAGAAGCCCATGATGTTCTCTTCGAGTTATTAAGCCCATGGGTTTTACGGTACTGCAAAAGGCCTGCTAAACACTACAAGATACTGACATTAACAGCTGGTAAGGAGAAATGAGATATTTATATCTTTGAATTTTTAGGCGATTTTGCGTCTTTCATTAACAATTTTGATTGGAATAGATCTGATGGTCCGAATTTACCAAATATGGTTTGGTGGTTGGCCGATCCTCTGACAAAATCATTTGCGACGTCCACTAAACGTAAGCCACTTGCCCTGTCCTTGGGTACATATAATAAAATCAAATTTTGCGTCATAGTTGTTCTTAGGTACCTAAGTCTTCACACACCGAGAGAGCTGAACGTTCTTCTTTCACTTGTAGCATTGGTAGCTGTCCTGACTAAGATTAATTTTGCAAGCCGAATCACTTGCGATAATTATCTTTTTTGACAGTGGTCAGTCTTCTCAAGTAAGTCAGAATATCGGAAAGTGAGCTGCTAGAAAATCAGGGGGCAGATTCAGTAGGGGCACGGGGGCAGGTTGCCCCTGTTTTGCCACTAAATTTTAAACATTTTAATGCATAATAATACTATGTGCTTCTCATTTATCTATTCTGAACCTGTTGTGCCCCCCCCCCCAACCCACCCCGCTTGAAAAATTCTAGATCCGCCCCTGAAAATAATATACTGAAACTGAATGTCTTCTGCTATAAAGACCATTAGCTTTTAGCCCAACCTGCGCGCAATGGTTATGAGTTATGATGTACCTCGCTAATTACCATTGCAGTCATAGTTAAAGTCACACTAATAACATCGCAGGGAACTTGGTTTTCGGTTTGTTTTCCACTTCATTTTTCCACTGCATTAACATTTATTATTATTACTATTATTATTATTATAATTATTATTATTATTATTATTGCTACTATTATATTAATGCTAATATAAATTTTGCTGACGACGATGAGTGATTATGATGTTGATAATGTTAATGATGATAATTATGAAGATTATGATGATGATTATCATAATTATAATGGTAACACTAGCTCAAAACTTACACTGTGCCAAAGTTGGATTTCCAAACAACAAATATACACTGTAAACCCAACATGTGACAACTGCGAATAAATAAAGTGAAGAAAAAGAATAATTATTAGTAACAATACAATAACAAAATTTATTATTCTTATTTTATTGTTATTATCTTTTATCACTGTATAACGCTTTGAAGATAAATGTAAGAGTCAAGATAATATCCAAAACGTTTGGGTGTCTTGCTATATTCATTATCCAGGGATTTGTAATTCACTTCCTACTTCACCTAAAATAAAAATACGTCTAGTTGAATCGATTTTACCAACCGATGACGATTTTCAATCTAATCAAAACCGATAATATCGCTTCAAAAATTCGAGCAAGTGATTAATAGTTACCGTTAGTTACGAAGAATCTAACAAATAGTTGTTAACGGTTAATTGCTATCTATCAAAAAAATTCTCTTTAAAAATGTTTAAATAGTTTGTTCAACGGCATTACGCCAAACGACCGTTTAATAATCTCTATCATTAACTTAGCCTACCCAGGTCGTTATCGGTCGTCAGCTGATTTTTTCCTTCCAAGATATCGTATAAAGGCCTCTAAAATGCACACTGATGGATATATGATATTATAAACAAACATGAAATCCTGAATATTAAGGAAATCGAATGAATACTTACGTTTCGAAACAGGTTGAAGCATTGCGTATAATTGTCTTTAAGATGTTTCGTCAGATATTCTTGCTTAAAGTAATTGTACTGCGGACAATACTAAATTTATAATTATCTAAGAACCAAATATTGTGGTGCATGACAGATTATATTGACATTATAATGACAATAGCCT